TGGTGCGGAAAATGGATGCGTGCCTAGTTTACGATGTTCAATATCTGACACGGTCGCGCCACACACTTAAATGTTTCCGACTAATCCAATGGATCTGTCGATGGATCGAGACCGTGGCAGCTGTTAGTGAAGGGCCAGGTACCTTCGTTATTTTGTGCTCCTATCGCGCTGCCAGTAATACTCCAAAACCGACCGTTTTTATCCAGAAAGAGGCATCACCTGGTTCGACGCCCACTCATACCCGCTCTGGCCAGCCAGGCCTCTATCAAGAGGATCCCTGGTTATAGTGTGTGGGTGTGGGTGTGGGTGTGGGTGTGTGTGTGAGAGAGGGAGAGAGGGAGAACGTGTGAGCTGTGGCCTAAGTTCCCGCCTCCCACCAACTATTGCTTTGCACATCTAGGACAAGGACATCACAGGCTCCCACCACCGCCCCCTCCCCAACTTTATTATTCGCGTCTCCGCCAGCTTCGCCTCTTATTCTCCTCTTTTCTTCGCTCTTCTTCCCCTTCCCCAAATACCTCCTTGTGTTTTTTCCCGGGACTTCCGACTCAAGCAGTTCTACTCAATTCTCCTGAATGCATTCTGCGAAACGCCAACCCTATCGAACTAAGACGTCGTCAGCTCAAGCCATTTTTTCGGGAGGGAACCCCGCGCGCCTCACACATCCATCAACGCTATTCTTTTTCCAGTGCATCTCCAAACAATTCGTTCTCAAGTTACCCATGGGTTGAGCAAAGGGTCGATCGGAATCTCGAACAACTGTTCTCTTAATCCGGACTTTTCTGAGACCTGGCACAACTGTCACTATTCTTCTTTTTGCGTTGAGCCCCGGGTCCTCCCCTCATCGGACACAGGTTCGCTTGCCTCTTGGCCACACTACATTCTCCCTTTTAGCGGCTCGTTTTCTCTCCCTAGTGTCAGAGGAATCAACGTCACCGACAATCCTGGCACCCCGCCCCAGCGCTAGTTCTAGGTGCTTCACTCGCACCAAACTGAACATCAACACCATTGATATCCTTTTTATCACCAACCGTCCTCATTTTCTCGTTCATTTTCTCGTTCATTTTAAGATTGAATTGTAAGAGGGGATCTTGGAATACGATTCCACCTGCTTCTACTTTCTTCTTCTCTATTCTCTTTTCCTTGTCCTCCCTCATTGTTTTAGCAATTTTGTACCAACGGCCACTCACTTAGTTACGTGGCGAGGCGAAAGGCACGAGCAAAACAGGACGCTCCCAATTGCTGCCTGTTATTCGCCACGCAATCGCGCACCAGGCTCTCCGCTAGACCCGAGGGCAACATTGCCCACAGAATACAGCCAATTCCCTCCGCAGCTCGTCTTACACGTCAACCCTCGTCAGGCAGTCACACTTGGGCGCACCCAAACTCATATATTGCGTTGGGTACCAGGGCAAGGCCAGGAAACCGTCAATAATAAAGCCACTCTCAACATCAATGCATTCGACCCCTAACTTGTCAAGTCGGTTATTATCATCCAAGTCTGCGTCAGCTACATCCCTTGAGGCGAGAACAGGCATTTTGAAACCGCTCTCCGCTTCGCCCTTTCTTCACACTCTTGCAACGCCGACCACCACAACGCTCCCATCTTTTTCTCAATCTCGTCTAATTTTATCGCCAATTGCTACCATGGACTTAACTAAGAAAAAGCCGTTCGACATTAGCAATTTAATGTCACCTCCCGAGCCAACTCCTTACGACAACTTTTCGCAATGCGACACACATGTCTCCGGCCCCACTGAAGCTGGGCCGGCAACGTTGCTCGGCCCCCGACCGCCCATGTCGCCACCTGTGTCGCCAGAAGTCGCGATGCATGACAGCATCGACCTCGCCTCACCTTCCCTTGCCGCACCAACACCCTCGACCTCTGATGATAGTCCCGTAAAGGATCCGATCCTATTTCCCCATCCCAGGAACTAAGCCCGGACGCCCCGTTGTTCTCTACCGATCATCTTCCGGAACAACACCGTCGACTGGTTGACGAGCATGTGGCCTACCGCCACCCAACCCTCTTTACTGCTTCTGCACCACCGAGGCGAGAAGACTATGAATTGGCTTTGTACTTCAAGTCTCAGGTTATGAAGAATTATCTTAACAATCCAATGAGTTGGTTGAAGAAGGAACGGGACTTGCTCGTTGCAGATAGGAAGGCGGGTGCTAAGCGACGAGAGAGACCGGCGCCCTTGGTTAGGGCCCCAAAGTACGCGACTATTCTTCCTGCCAAGTTGGCCCCCTCGCCTTCCACCGCAGAAATGGTGCCGGTCAAGGCGCCTCTTCGACCGCTCGCCAATACCGTGTCGCAAAGCCGCTAGCTCTTAGTGGTCCACGTCTTATCCGCCAAAATCAAGTCCTTAATTCTCATATCAAGCCTACCATCCGAGTGCACTCGACACCCGAGCCACAGAGGCGTATCGTTGCACCAAACAGAGAGGACAAAGATTTTAACTCGCTCCCCAACTACTGCCCGCCTTCGTCATCGTTGCCAAATAGACCAAACTGCCTGAAGGTAGACTGGAAAGGAGCGCCAATTGATCTTTCGGGAGATCCGAATGCCAAGTTGCTTCACCCGGATGAGATTACCCTTGCTGCAAACCTCAGGCTAGACTGCGCCACTTATCTCACGAGTAAGAGGCGCATTTTCATTCGGCGATTAGAGTGTGCCCGCGTTGGCAAAGAGTTCCGCAAAACGGACGCCCAACAGGCTTGCAAGATTGATGTTAACAAGGCCTCGAAGCTTTGGACGGCATTTGAGAAAGTTGGTTGGCTTGACATTCACTGGGTTCGGCCACATATGTGATCCTCGAATACCAGCTTTGCGCCTAGACCTGGTCATTTCCCTGGACTGGCCTGCATATATATATGCCTGTGCCCTTAACCATGCACATTCCCCCATCACTCCTGATTCAACTTGCTTGGCTACCACTCTACTTATTTTATCTGTGCTGCTGGAATCTGCATTTTACGATGTTTTGACTTGTCCTTTCATTTTCCCCTTCCTTTTCCTCTTTCGTTTGTCAGATTTTGGGCTTGGTCTTTAGCTGCTTCATTTTCACGGACTTGTTGATGAGACATCACACTGCAATGATACCCGGAACGCAGGTTGGAATAGTTTGCGTTTTTTTTTTTTTTTTTTTTTTAACTTATTTATTTTTTATCAATTTGATGGAAGAGGACCGGGAGGGGGGATGAATCACGATATGGCCTTTAAGGCAGCTTCATCCCTGAGGTCATCTTAGCAGGTGTTTAGCTTGATCTAGAACGCTGGAGAGAGTAAGTCTTACCTTTCTGAGTTACCGCCTTATTCTCATTTTCACCCTTTAAGAGTATTAGATGGGATAAGCTGAGCGAAGAGGGACTATTTAGTTACCTATATCCATTTTGGGTGTTTATTTTATTTTAACTATTGCTTAGGGAGGGGGTTTCTGATTTGGCTGTGCTTAAATCTTAAATATCCTATTCTTGTCAAGTTCAGCTACCTAAATGTATTTTTGGTAGGTAGGACAAACATGATGAGTTTTAGCTATCTTTTATAGTTATAATTTCATTTTCCTATGCTCTCCTCTCTTTAGTTGGCCTCTTCAAACTGAGGTATATCCTGCTTTATACTGGGAAATGATATTAGTATATCTTATTAGGTGCAAATTGGCTGCTTTGTTGTTTGTGCTATTGGCTACATTTTTTTCTTTTTCTTCTTCTTCTCCAGCCTTTTTAGAAAAAAAAATGACTTCAAGCTATTTTAGAATAGGGTAAGCTGAAACCCACGCTTTTAAAGGCTTGATATATTTATAGCCTCGATTGCTGTTCATGGTACTTCTCGTTATTGTATTAACATAGCTAATTTCTAATCAGGTCCCCTGGTGATGATTAATAAAACTTATGAATCTAGTATTCATCCTCCTCATTATATATATATATATAAGTGCTCTCCACCGCTGGATGGACATAGCCCTTGTTTCGCGACGATTGCTCTGAAGGTTTGAGGAGAATATGAGAGTGGTATGCGGGAGAATTGGGAAAAGAAGCATTAAAGAATACGCCGTTTCATAAGCGGGCGCTATTTGCGTGCATTAGCGGGGAGCGGGCCGAGGGCTCGGCCCCGTCTGTTTTACAGGATCCGACGGTTACACCGAACCGGGGAGAGTGTTGGCATAGTACCGCGCCAGTTGAAAAATTACATGGAGGGTTTGATGAGGTGGGAAAAACTTGTGGTCCTCTACTTCTCCACTTGGCACAGACTACAAGAGTAGGGTGACACCCTTGAGACAAAATATATGTAAAGGTCATGTGCATTACAAGACGTCTCCAGTTCGACATCGACGCGGAAGGGAAAGTGTGCCATGAAATAGCATGATAGGGGAGCGGCCAGGATTTTCTCTTGGCTCCGGTGTCCTCTTTCGGTCTTCCCGTGCCTCCCATGATGTCATTCCTGCCCGCCCGAGCGTTTCAACCCGGAAGCAAGGGGGAAAATTCGGTGGCTGAAATATAGGGCTCGGGAGAAAAGGGGAAAGGAAGAGGCTGCGAGATCAAAATCGAAAACGGGCCGGGTTCGTACAATGCGCTAGAGCCCAAAGCCCCCAAAAATCACAAGGGTCCATCTGTGGATCGGTCAATGCGCATATGGCGCACATCATCATGATCTACCGAGGTACAGACTGAGCAGATGCCAACAATCATCGCTAGTGGTTTTGAATTTATATGTAGACTACGACGGGGGAAAGGAAAAGGGATTCGGATAATGCGACATGAAATACGAATTTATTCATACATTCCACCTAGTTATGCATGATGCTTAGGGGTTGATCTTGCTAAAAGGCGTTTGGCTCCAATCTCCACGCAACGCAATTGATGCCTGTTATGTTGTAGACATGGCCAAGGTGCGGCGAGTGCCTTCTTTTCAGTTCATTCTTTGCACTACATTGAGCCACTTTCTCTCATCCGCTCTATTAGGCGAGAGGAAATTAGCCGGGAATTCGCGGGGGGGCTTACTGGTCAAATCGAAGCAGCTTCCCAAGGACGGGGACCAATTGTGCCCTAAGCCTATTATCCTTCTGTTCCAAGAACTGTAAGAGGATCGTTTTTAGGTACATAGCATCGGGAGTACCTGGCGACGGGCCCGCTACCGAGGACCCGGATCGCGCTGACTCGATCGACGTGCGCCCACCTACACTGCCGCTTGACGCCTTGGCCTGGGCCAATTTGAGGTCCCGTGCTATGCGGTCGTGCTTTTGCCTGGCCTCTTCAAGTAGCCTCCGAAGCTCCATCTTTTGCCTTTCTGCGTCGCTGACCTGTCTCTCCGAGGCGTCTAGGGCTGTTTTCATGTCTGATACTGCAGCGCGCGCTTCCGCAACCTCGGTGTCGGCTTTCTGTTCGACACTCTCGAGTTCATGACGCTGTCTCTTCCACTCTCGCTCGCGTTGTTCCAGCTCATCTTTTACGTTTGCGAGGGATTTGATTTCACGCTCAAGTTCGCGAACCTTTTGACGTAGATCTTCCGTCTCCCTGGCTTTACGCCTTCCCAGGGCGCTTGACTCCTCTTCTGCTCGATCGCGCTCTTCGATGGCGGCCTCCATACGTGTGCGCATGTCTCTGACTTGGCCATCTGCACGGTCGTCAACATCGGCAAGGAGACGCCTCATGGTCTCACCCTCACGTGCGCGCTCGCCGAGCATGCGTTGGACCTCGGCGAGCTCCTCCTCGAGCGATTCGGCCTGAGATCGTGCTTCCCGTAGCTGCACCGTTAGCTCGGTAGTTTGGTCTCGCATGCTATCAAGAAGCCCCTGGGCGCTAGAGTACTGCTGTGCCTTGAGGTCGGTCTCTTCGCGCAGACGTTTGTTTGTTATTTCTAACTTTTCGACCTGCTCTTGAAGTTCGCGCATCTTAGGCTGTAATTCCCGTAGCTGCTTGAGCTCGCGCTGTGTCTTCTCCTCCTTAGCACTAATCTCGACCTTCTCAGCTTCTGATCGTCTGAGATCTCGTCCTATCGCACGGTTTACATCCTCTAGTCGGAGACGGCTAGTTGTCTCTGCTGATACCTTTTCTTTCAGAATTTTGATTTCTGCCTCCCGGTCCGCCGTGAATCTCTGAGCACGATTAAGGTCCATCCTGAGCTCCTTCTCCTTCTTCTCGAGGGCGCGGATTTCCGCGACCTTCTTCATTAGCTCCTCTTTGGTTGTCTTCAGGAGAGCGGCCTCTTGTCTAAGGCTCTTGAGTTCAGGCTGGGCCTTTTGAAGAATGGCTCGGAGTTCTGTGAGGTCTTTGAATCGGCTCTGAGCAAGCTCCTGCGCTGCCGCAAGATCGGTATGAAGAGTGGAAGCCTTGAACTTGAGCTCGTCATACTCTTGCTGGAGCTCATTAAGCTCTGCTTGTGCGTTCGAGTTAACCTTGGCATCTTCTGCTCCTTTCTCAAGCTCAACAATCCTAACTAGGAGCTGTTTCTTTTCCGCCTCTAGGACCTTGATTCTCTCTTTCGCTTCCACATGTTCTTGGCCAATCAGCAAGAGGTTCTCTTGCATCGACTCAACTTCCTCTCGAAGTTCCTCTTCCGTCCGCCGTTGTTTGGAGAGTTTTTGAATAGTTTCGTCTTTTCCTGCAATGTTTTCCTTTAGGCGAGTGATCTCAGCCTCAAGAACGTCTATGTTGATAGAGTCGGTAGGGGATGAGGGCGTGGGATCTAAGGCCATCGCTGGCGGACGCTCAATGGTGTAGCTGCCGCCATGGCGGCATTTTTCTTCTTCTTCTTGTTCTTCTTTTTCGCCCCCGTCGCGGTGGCGGACGGAAGGTTCGAAGAGGGCACGGCTTCTTTGAGCCTCTCGTTCAGCTCCTCGATTTTCTTCTCATCCGCACACTTGCTAGCTTCGAGAGTGCTTATCTTGCTCGCCAAACCCGAGATTTGCGTCTCCAGTTTAACCTTGGCTGCAGCAAGATTGTTTAGCTCGGTTTCAAGCTCTTTTGAACGTGAATCTGCTGCATCTGCCCTGCCCTTTAACTCCCGTGTTGCTGAGGTCTGTGCCAACCTTTCTTCCGCCATGCTGTTCTCAAGATCTCGAAAGTCAGCTTGAGCTTTATGTAGCTTCTCAGTTAACATCGCAATTTCAGTGTTTCGAGCCTCTAGCTGGCTCTCGAGTGCTTTTTAACAGCGCCATTATCTCTCGACCGACTCAACTCATATGTGGCCCTTTCTAGCTTCTCGACTAGGTCCGAGCCTGTCTCCTTCGCGATAGATAGTTCGCATCGAAGCGACTGTACTTCCTCTTTAGAGTCTCGATCTCCTGGGTGCGGGCTCTCGAATCATCCCGGATCTCGGCGTCGAAGGAGAAAAGTTCCGAGGATGATCTAACCTTAGCGCCATCCGTGCTCCATGGGCCACCGCTGGAGTGGCTCGTGTCTGCCTCAAATCTTGTGCTATCGTTGTCGACGGTCTCCCCTTTTTTCCACGGCCGGCCTGGCGGCGATGGGACTAGTTTCTACCGTAGGTAGTCCCGTCCTATGTGTATTAAGCTCCATTTCCTGAGTGTCACATCTTTTTTAATTCGTCCTTCTCCGTTGAAATCCTTTTCAGTTCGTCCATCACCAAACTCCCCTTGAGATTAAGTTGACTCAAATACTCGATAAACGATGCTGGATCGGAAATAGACGTCAAAGGAGTATTTTCCTTCAACGCACGCTCGAATGGCTCAATAGATTTTGCACGGCTGTGGGCAATTCGATAAGACCGAAGTAATTCTAAGGCAAGGTAATAACGCGTTAGTATGTGATTAGGCGAGGGGCATCGGCAGGCCGACTAACCGGTATAAGTCGATTCTAAGCGCTCGAATTTCCGTAACTTGACCCTAACATCCATTGGCAGCTCAGTGATTGGAGCAACACTACTGGCCAGTCCCTTCTCTTCCGACTCAGGAATGTTCTTTTTCTCCCCATCGTCCGCCAGGGTGCTGGCCTCAGCAGCCTTCTCTTCCGAACTATCATTAATACCTGAGCGGACCTTCTCGTCGGTTCTACTTGGTGGTTTTGGGGTGTTGGCACGGCTAGGATCCTCACCGTCATCGAGAGAGAAAGCAGCCTCAAATATTGATGGATCCGGATTTGAGCTGCCTTCGCTGGTGCCCTTTAAGGCATCCTGGCCTGGTCGCTGCTTTGGTCGGGGGCGACGAGAAGGGGATTCGCTTTTTCCGCCCCGAGATGAAGTGCTTGACTGGCGCGAAAGAGTGGATTGAGGGCCTTCCTTCGAGCGCGCTTGCTCTTCCGCGATTGTGCGGTCAATCGCGCCCTTTATACGTTGGAGGGACTAGTGAAGTGGACTGGTTAGCCAAGATGCTTGAAGATGGCGGGAAAATGCTCGATTGTACGAAGGAGAGGCGCACTGAGAACATATCAAGTTACGTCATCAAGAGAAGCGGGGATGTCATATAAATCAAGAAGCCAGATAGAAAGCTTATGGACCTAGAGGTCGTAGACCAAAGCCAATTTGATACGATGCAATGAGGCTTAAGAGCTTTGATGAGGAACAAGATCCTCAAATTATAACTCGCTGCCACGAAGCTTCGCACTGGGTTTCACAAGGGGGAGAATAGAAGTGGAAAGAAAAAAAAACAAAAATGGGTCCTTGCGGATGGTCCCTGAAAAAGGTTGAAAATTAATGAAAGAAAATGGATTGAGAAAACCAAGGCAAAGGCACTAGGTTCAAGGGATTGATGTAAGAGAACAAAGATCAAGAGTGCACAGCCTTGCCTTCTGACAGTGCTAGGTAATAGCCAAAGTGACGGTGACTTTTTCTCCGAAGAGTACCCCCGGTTTTGCTTTGGCTGGCTCGCTGTCCTCTGCTCTGCCCTTTGGTGGTTGATCCTAGGAGCGAGCACGAGGTATTATGCACAGACCTAAAGTCGTTGAAAACCTTGGCTAATCTTCGGTGGATAAGAAGCACAATTACATAAGCAAACAGAGAGCTTCCTTCAAGAAAACAGCTTATAATAGGTCATTGGGACATGTTGGTCACGCCTCCCTTGTGGATTGTACTGCGTATTGTTCTGGTGGGAGATCAAGCCGTGCGCTTGCTACATAGTCGTCCTGCTCATCCAACGGAGCGTCCCTTCTTTGATCCGAAGAGCCCGACTATAAAAGTGCACAGATCTTTCCCCATCCGAAGCCACCTGTCCGGTTTTCCGTCGTGGCCTTGACCAAATGTGATGCGTGCGACCTGCCTCGCTCGCTTTTGCACACATCGTCATGGTGTCATTATGGCCTTGGAGGGTAGGTGTAGGATCGTACTAGTAGATTCGGTCCGCATAAAACTTTGGGAAGAGAGATCTGACATCCTTGGCCTCGGCTGACTTCTAGAGCGATGATTCCTCGCCAGCCTCCTTCGAGAAAACCTTGTCGATCCTTTCAGCAAAATCAACAACACCCAAGCCCGCCTTGACGGACTCGGACTCGCTCGCGACGGGTTAGGGTTCTATGGACCATCTACCTATCTTTCGCATATCTTGTTTACAGCATAGTCATCATCCTTGTAGTAGGCACCCACAAGATGGGGCCCCATGAATGGACAGCTATCTCGGGAGGGCCAGTTATGTAAGGAGTTCCCCAGCGTGGTTGTAGTGCACTTCCAGGGTTTTTTCTTTATTTTCTTGCAAGGCTAATTTCGTCAATAGAATATACGCTACGCGAATGACCCTCGCTAAGTATTACAATTATCGGATCGAGTTTCTATCAACCAAACTCAGAGACCAACGAAGCGAGAGAGCCAGGACAATCCAAAAGCTCAAGGATGCGACAAAATATGACACAACTCTTGAGTTGTTAGAGAAATACGGAGACGAACCTAGACCTAAAACGTCGAGGGAGTCCGTGAGTGAGGATGATGCAAATGAAAGGAAGCGTCAAAGGAGGACACGCCTTAGCATGGACGGGCCCTCCAATGCAAACGTGCCGAGCCGGACGGGCTTGCCACCTCCACCAACCGCGAATATCCCGCGAGGCCCGCCCCCGAGTCTATCCTCAGGTCACCCCGTCCCCGAAATAACGCCGGCTCCTAGAATATCAAACGCACTTCCTGTGACAGAAGAATTCGCACCTAATGCCTTCAGTACTACCCCTCCCCCAGCGGCCGAGATTTCTTCCCAATCCTATGGTCAATATGATAATAATCTAGGGGGGCTCTCACTGGTACGATCGTGTCATGGACCTCCTCCTTGGCGAGGATGAGATGGCAGCTAAGAACCGGTTCGTGCTCATCTGTGAGAGGTGTCGACTTGTCAACGGACAGGCGCCACCTGGCACTAGGCAGATGAGTGAGATCGGTATGTGGAAGTGCATGGGATGTGGCAAAATGAATGGTGAGATGGATGAAGGGAGAAGGCTTGTCCGAGATGTTTTGAATGCGAGGAAACCAGGGGACGCGACGAAGCTGCTTGTGCACGACCAGGATGGGGGACAAACCCCGCCAGCACTGGAAGTCATGAGAATATGGAAGGTGAGGAGAGAGAAGACAGTCATGTCGACAGCGATGACAGTCGAGAGTTAGCTACCGAGGGTGTCGGCAGGGCCACAGGGAGTGAAGCTCGCGGAATTAAACTAAGCAGGTCAGACCAACGCAAGGGGAGAAAATGATAATACGCACTGGAGTTTGCGATGAGCTAGGCATATATTCACACGATACACTGTCAACCACGTCACACAGTCCCAGTAACGCTGAGTCCCAACCTGGGACAGCTCGTATATCGGTTCACCGAGCGCTGTCGGGTAGGACCCCATATATATGTGGCTCGTGATGGACTCGCCACATCGCTTTGGGTTTCCAAAGCGAGTGTGCTCTACACCGTCATCGCAGACAAAACAGAAGGCTCTAAAAATGACGATATGAGGTAGTTAGGTAGGTTGCTGTTGAAAGCATAAGTCGTATTATTTGACACCTTTTCAGCTGTACCTCGGTAGGGCGTATGGGAGTTGAGCTAGCGGTGATTGGCCACAACTTTGGACGTGCATGTTTGGGTTACGACAGCACATTGACCCTAGTCACAGGTGTCTCAGCATGAAGTGAGGCGTGGGAGAATGGTTGGTAGTTAAGAGCACTGGGGGTTACATGGAGACTCGGCGGGGTATGGGTTAATGAAAAGATCCATCGATGGATAGATATGAAGGCTATGGCGTCATAGGATCAACCTCACAAGAATCGAGCTGCGTCTATGTTTTCCTTTCTCTGAGCTAATACTTCGAACCGCATTTTAGTCATCCTTGTAAGCCATGCCCTTGTTGAGAAGAATTAGGCGGTAATGTAGGACTTGAGAATTAACAGGTATCAAGGTCTACCGTTCATTATCATGGCCATCGCCGGTTAATATCATCACCTGCAACGGCAAATTGATAGCCTGGTTTGGACCCAACGGAATAGATCAATTGATGGTATCCGCCGCCGCGCAGGGGGACTTGAGGAGCCAACTCGGTAGAAAGGTGTGGGTCTAGGGCAGGCACAAGCTTGGAAATAGCACCGGTGTCGGAGAAGCCTTGTTGCGTTTGTGCCACGTCCCCTCGGGCAATGACGTCTTGATCTCCATCGGCCTCGATGTTTCGTCGAAGCCTTATCCTGAAGTTTAGTGCACGGTGAACACGTCAGTATCCCTGTCCCGGTTTTGTTCGCTTTCCCGTCCGTTTCTAACAAGTTCTTGTTTCGTGTAGTAACTACCCAGACATGTATTCAGCATGCCTATTTGTCGATATTGGTGTAGCGGAAGGTGCAACTCTGCCCAACTTGTTGGAGAGGAACCTTGCTAGCCCATTAGCGTCCCAGAAACTCGTGAGAGCGCTATCATGGAATACTTCAAGGTGTGCCTGGTTAAACTAGGAGGACATGAATTTTGTAGGTTCAAGCTTGATAACCAAATTCGTTCTAAAATTAGTATTACATCTCGAGGCCACCTTTGGACCGTTCCGCACCAATTTCTGTGGAGAACTTTGAAGTTCATGGAACCAGCGGTGGCGCTAGAGGTTGGAAGGGGGATTCCCCAAACAGCCCATCCCCCACCATCTTGACTCCCCAAGTTTCGCTCCTGGTTGCGCCTTAACCGCCGGACTCCCAGAAATTCCGGCAGGACCTCAAGTTAAGCACAGGCCACACTTTCCGAGAAGCTGGAGGGATCATCCGAAGGGAATGCCCTAATAACTGAGAGGTGCTCAACACCTACAGGCCTGGTCAAGGACTAGTCGTAGTGCCGCTAATGCCCCTCCGCCCTTCGCGCAATTTTCTTGTCCTTCTTCGCGAGCTGCCCGGAGTAGCCCCATTTCTCCGGGTTCGAGCTTTTCTCGATCGGGTTCCCACCCCTCAAATTTCTTCATATCTCCTGTGCTACAAACTGTCCACGATTGATTTTGGTTTCCTCCTTTTTCTCTACTTCTTCATTTTTATTCCTCACAACCCAACTGCGCTCCTTACTCTCGCCACACCTGTGTCCTCGGATGTCATCAAACTCGATTGTTTCGACCCTCAGGCTTGCCTCCTACTCGTGTCGAAAGCTGCATTCCGCTTTTCTGGGGAGACCTGGCTTGTTCCGAACGATAGGATCGCTCTAAACCTGGCAATAACGGCGACCAAGGATCGCTTCTTCCATACTCGAGTTCCGTTTCGACATGCGTTTTCTCGTCCTTTCAATTTCTACTTGATGCTGCCTTCTCTTAGCAATCAACCCCACGATCGACTTGCGCCTTATCTTGCGCCGCCTCCACCTCTCCACCCACCTCCAGCACGCCCGAAGCAGGGATAACATTGAAGACTTACGACGGGTCGCATTGGCATTATCTAGCTGTTTTTCGCAAACGCTGGCCCCTGGAATTCGATTTTTGTACCCCGCGCCCACCACGAGACCTCATCGTTGCAACTTTTACGACCCACTACCAATACCCTCGTACGTCACCGATAGCCTCTTTGTCGATACCGCGGCAGCGTAGTGTATGCTCGAGCATACTCGGCGTTGATAGATCTAATAGAACTTAGAAGGAGCAACACTTTGCTCCCAAATTGATCCTTGTCCATAACGGCAAGTGGGTAGTACGGGCAGGATATACGTCGTCTCAAAAGTAAGTTTTCGCAGCAATAGCGATGATGAACGGAACACAACACGACAATCCTAGCGCGGTTCACAAGCCGTCGCCTTTAGGTCCGGGTGGTTCAAACGGGAACTCTGCCGGCACCGCCGCAGCAGCCGCGATGGCTAAGAAGAGGAAAAAGGATGCGCTGAAGCCTATCATCACCACCGAGGCACCATCAGAGTAGGTCTATCTATTTGAGCCTTGATTTTCTCTTCTCGCGCCTCTTTGCCTCCCGACCTTCCCCACTGCGCTACCAGTGTAGTCGTGTGGCCATGCCTGTGGTGTTTCGATCTTCGCCTCGGACTGCCACCCTTGATATCATTACACAAATATGTCACTATATGATTATGCGGCTATCTCTAGTGGCGCGTGATCCTGTTTTCATGGTGTGAGAGCTCTATCGGTTCTCCAAACAACAAAAAAAAGGGAAGAAAAAGAAGAAAAAAAGAAGAAAAAAGAAGAAAAAAGCTGGGAAGCAAATGGCGAGTGACAGGTTCATGCGGGATGCGTCAGTTCACGCGGCGAGTGCCACCCTCACATCGTGGTCCTTGAACCAAAAACTGGTGGTGTCAGGCGTGGCCAGAGGATGAGCCACTTTTCACATCAGCAGGGGCCAGCAGATGTGCCACACCTCTTTTTTCTTCTCTTTCTTTTCTTCTTCCCTTTCCCGTTTCTCTTGTTCCAAGGACACCACCGGCCATTCCAGTTTACTTTTCTAAGGGTTTTCCCTCCTGGACGAGTTCTTGTGGCCCCTAATAAGCTCAACATTGCCTCGAGTGGGCAATAGCGGACTAGCAAACTCTAAGATGGTGCAAGCGAGCTCGGGTTCGGCAAGGCGCTGCGCTTCACTGAGAGCGTAGATGAGAGAGATGAGGATATGGCCCTGCTCTTTCCCTCTGGCTGGAATGATGTTGGCGACTTTCAAGTGCGGGCTTCGCGCTCTAAACAGCTGTGCGAGGTTTGTCCATGCAACGAGTTCAGCTGCTTGGGGATGTTTCAGGGGCTCGTCATCGGCTTGCCAAGTAAGCCAGCTGCAGCCAAAGTCTGCCCTGCACCATGGACGGGGAAGCGCATGTGCATCAGGGTCCAGGCTCGAGGTGAATTGCACTGCCAACGTCGGCGCTGTCGCTCCCTTATCAAGCGTCCATGGATCACATCACATCACTCTTCCTTCTTTGACTTTGGCTGGTGATCGACGAAAGCTATAATACATATTGGGCGCGGGGTCCCTCGTCCGTCTCCCCACTGTATGTTGTTCTTGACACCCCCGCCTCGTTAGTTTTCCATTTTCAGCAGCCTATCTTTTTACCTCTTGTTCTTCTTTTCTTCTTTGTTCTTTTTTTCCCTTCTGGAATTTAGTTCTTCACACAGATTCTCCCTTGCCCATTCACCGCCTTGCCCCTCTGCCGCACCTCACCGCGCGACTCTGCCCGCTTTTTATGTTGTCAGGCCTTTTGGTCCCTGTACTTCGCCCCCTCCGTCACCTCGCCTCCTTGGTAGCGCCAGCGCGACTTGCTGCTGAGAAGTTGAGCCCTTCTCAATCGCGTTGCATTTACATTGGGCCGCCGTAAACCTCTTCACGCATCACGTATTCCTTTTGGCATCGGCTCAGGGGAGATTGTTCGCTTCCACCCATTTCGCCTCCATTCCGCCTCTTTTTCTCCCACCACAACAGCCGACGCCGCCCCCTTCCCCTTTCCCTCATCCGAATAAACAGCACCTCGCATCTTGACTTAATTACCTCCAGCCCGCTCGTTTCCATTGTGCTCTAGCGACCAGCTAAAAATCTCAGTACCTCAACCATGGGGTTCCTCAAAGCAAGGTGCCAATATCTCTCCTAATCCTCGCCTGCACTCTTTCCCAGTTCACCAAGCTGCTTTCTCATTTTTCATTATCATTATTATGTCTTTTGTTGAACTTGCGAGCATACACGAAGCCTCATCAGCGCTGGTGGTTGCTGCGCCTACTATTCTCATCTTTGGCTATCCGAAGTTGCTCGGTGGCCCTGACATTTACTCTGCCATATTTGTTGCCCCTCCCCGCCTTGCCTTGGGCAAGCCTCACTGATCCCCACACCCGAGTCGACAGGCTTCCCATGCTAGTGCACTCGGGGACTTTGCGATCGCAACTACTATGCGTGGTCAAAATCTACTTATTTCAGAGACATCCCCTCTTGCTTGCACACGTCACTGGGCCCTTTCTCTTTCTTCTCCTTTTGATTTCAGTTTACTCCGAGTTCTTTCCCCACCCTGCGCCCGCATTTGATCTTTTCACGACTTCTCAAATTGTTTTGGCCACTGACCGCCGCCCTTATCCCTCTAGGTCCCACCAACTTGGCGCCGCGATGAACCTCTCTCCGACCTCCGTCTCCTCCGCAGAAGATGCCACCGAAAATACAGCCGATGAAGAAGATTCCCAAGATTATTGCAAGGGAGGGTACCACCCTGTAACCGTCGGCGAGACTTTCAAGGACGGTAAATATACCGTCGTGCGAAAATTGGGTTGGGGACACTTTTCTACCGTGTGGCTGTCAAGAGATAACTCTACGGGCAAGCACGTTGCCCTCAAGGTTGTGAGGTCTGCCGCTCACTACACCGAGACTGCTATCGATGAGATCAAGCTTTTGAGCAAAATTGTTCAGGCCAATCCAAACCACCCCGGCCGCAAGCACGTCGTCAGCTTGCTAGACTCGTTTGAGCATACCGGTCCCAATGGGACTCATGTGTGTATGGTTTTCGAAGTCCTAGGTGAGAACCTACTCGGGCTTATCAAAAAATGGAACCACCGAGGCATCCCTATGCCTCTAGTCAAGCAGATTACCAAGCAGGTTCTGCTGGGCCTCGACTACTTGCACAGAGAATGCGGCATCATTCATACCGACCTCAAACCGGAAAACGTGCTTATCGAGATCGGCGATGTTGAGCAAATTGTGAAAAGGGTTGTTAAGAATGACTCTAGCGCTGAGAAGGAGAACAACAGAAATGGACGCCGCCGTAGGCGGACACTTATCACGGGCAGTCAGCCCCTGCCCTCACCCCTTAACGCCAGCTTTAGCCGCGATAACTTATTTCCCTCTCCAAGCCCTCATGGGAGCTTGAACCACATGTTGAATGAAGGTGCGACTTTTTATTTTTATTTTTCTCCCTCTCTCTCTCTTGCTCTCGTTATCTTCACACATTTAGCGGCTGCGCTCCGGTTCGCCCTCCCTCTTACTGACAAGGCACTTTTTTTCTTTTTAGGCAATGCGACGAGTAAACCTCGCTCCCTAAGCCGGAGAAGGAAGTAGATGAGAAGCAGAAACAGCGAGAAAAGTCAGCGTAAGCAGCTACCCGCTCCTCTCCCTTCCGATTCCCCCTTCTCCACCCTACCCCTTATCTCATAGCGCACTCTAATGCGTCAGATGCGTATAGGGATTTTCTTACGAGAGAGGTGTCCGGAATCTCCTCGACAAAGCGAATAACGCATCCTCGACCGGTGAGAAGCGAAAAGCGGATGAGACTCTCAACTTCGACATAATCAGTGTCAAGATTGCAGATCTAGGCAATGCTTGCTGGGTAAATCACCATTTTACAAATGATATTCAGACCCGACAGTACCGATCCCCAGAGGTAATTCTGGGCGCTAAATGGGGTGCTAGCACTGACGTTTGGAGTATGGCGGCGATGGTAAGTCCAGCTGCGGAAGCGGCACGATTTAAACCAGAGTTGATTGGGCTTAGGTGGGAGTGGAATGGTCCGGAAGCTGACTCAATCGTCTTTCCATCGTTATAGGTCTTTGAGTTGATAACCGGCGATTACCTCTTCGACCCACAGTCTGGAACTAAGTATGGTAAAGACGATGATCACATTGCACAGATTATTGAGCTACTTGGCCCATTTCCCAAATCGTTATGCCTTTCAGGGAAGTGGTCTCAGGAAATCTTTAATAGGAAGGGGAGCTCAGGAATATACACCGCCTACGTCACTGGGCATTACCTGACGTTCTCCGTGAGAAATATCATTTTCGCGAGGACGAGGCGAAGAGAATCGCCGACTTTCTCACACCCATGCTTGAGCTGGTGCCAGACAAACGCGCTAATGCTGGGGGTATGGCCGGCCACTCATGGCTTGATGACACTCCTGGCATGCGTGGTGTCAAGGTTGAGGGGCTTGGGGTTGGTACGAAAGGAGAGGGTATTGCGGGGTGGTCTTCCGAGTCGCGGTCGCGGTAAACGAAGGCTGCCTAGAACTAAGACAGACGGGTCGGCTTGGGGCAACATAGATACATTTCATTCCACGCAGATTCTGGCTATTGCTGTGTTGAATGGGCTTGCTCTTCTACGCCTTTCCTTATGATCAGTTAACCTGCATTTCCCTTCGCCCAACGCATTGATTACTGATTTCGCCACGTATGGGGGTGCTTTGTTTGCCTAAGGACCACGTAGCGCTGAGTTGTTGCAAACAACGAAGGATGCCGCTAATCTCACGGGCCGTCGCCAATAATATTTTGGGAAATGGGAGATACCACTTTTGGGCACACGACTTCTTCGCTAGCAACGCACCTGAATCAAGCGAGGGCAAAAGACAACTATTACGCAATTTCTTGGCTAGACTTAGATACTAGGTTGAGGCTGGGGTGAAGGCAAAGGTGCAAACCGCATTGCCAAGAGAGGCCTGAAGCGGGGTGATGTAAGGTGGGCGAACGAAGTGCATGCCGAAGCCAGGTCATTGCTATCTCTATTGTAAACGAAGAGGCTTAAAGGTTGAAACCTAGGGTCTTGACCTAAGTTTAAGAGCCGTTCGTGCTGGTCTTCAAGCTTCTGGATGTAGAAAAGGAAAGGTTGAGATACCACCGGGAACACCTTAGTACATACAGCCTAGAGGAGAAAGAAAACTAAAGGACATAGGGATGTGGTTCGCTAAAGAAAATAAAAAGAAGCTGAGAGTGAAAGCCGTAAGATCGCTGAGTGTATCTGTCCCAAAGTGGGCTCCAGGAGGAGAGCACGATGGAATGCGCCCTAGTCCATATTTTAACCCCTCTTCCTCGGTTTCTGTGTCATTTTTCTGAACGCCTCGATACCGCTAGAGCCAATGGGGCGATGCTCGAAGGCTCTGGATGAGCCTTTATCAAAGGTACTGCGGGGAGCTACGGTATAGCTCTGGGGCATTTCAGGGATGCGAGCGCGGTTTGTAGTGATTGCCGGTGCCAGCGCGCGCTCGCGTTCAGCGTCCACTCGAGAGATTACGGGCCGCTGGGACAGCGAAAATTGAGATGAACCGGAGCGCTGGGCAAATTTTGCAGCTCTTAGGGGTTTAGTCAGTATGATGAACTTGAAATGATGCAAATAGAAAAGGAGAAGAATTGGAAGGGGAAAGAAGGGGGGCGGGGGTGAGTAAAGCTCGGTACTCACTGGTAATCGTAGGTTCGCGTCTCGAGGTGGCGCTTCTTGTAATCATCCGTCCTCTTGAGAATGGGCCTACTCCAATCGCCTACGAGCTTCTCCGCGATGCGCTTAATGTTTGGTTCGGGTCGTTTAGATTTGGTATAGAAAAACACCACCTTGCCTAGTCCACTTCCTAGGAGCGCGTCCTTTTCAATGGGAAGTTTAACAAGATGGTTGAATATTTCCCGCTGAATGCTATAAGCGGAAGGCTCCCGTCATGGAGGGGTTCTAGGAAATAGCGCACAGCGCGCAAAAACCCCGAATCGGGATCTAGAACAGCCTCCTGGGCATTGTTGCGATTCAACATGGATACGACTTCAGGAAGAAGCTTCATCTTCTCTACGGCCGGTTTTCCAGCCTCGCGGGCGGTATTGTCGGCCTCGCAGGCCCTTTCCATCTTCACAACAAGGTCGGCAATCTGGTCATCAATAGGGTCATCCAGATCCTGGAATGGAAGCCAGATTAGCGAATGGGAACGGGTGGGAAAGAGTTGGGATCAAGGGTGGGGTAGTTCATACGGCTTCATCCTTCTTCTTCTTCCGCTTGAAGGACCCTTGACCGCGGCATCAAGCGCGCGGTCCAAAGCCCGCCTCCTCCGTTCTTCCGGCGTCAAGTGCGAATCATCCTCCAACTGTGGCTCTGGGGATGTACGCTTCGATATCGGGCGTGAGCCACCAACCTCGCTCCGCCGAGACTTGCGTGGTCTAGCGTCATCATCCTGGCCGTCGGCGTCTGTATCCCCATCGCGACTACGCTTCTTCTTCTCACGCCTCCCTTCCTTTACCTTGCGGGGTCTCTCAGCATCTGTCCGCTGGCGCCGGGCGGCTTTCAGTGTGCGGGCAATATCCTCGTCGATTTCCACAGGGCGATCTTCAATGTTGGCTGTCTCGGGATCGTAATCCTCAAATTGATCTTCATCGATCTCGGAGAGCTGGTCCAAATCCCTATCATCTTCAGGTGCGCTTTCGCTCCCCTTATCGGAGATCTTTTCTGGAGCTGGAGATCTAGTACCGTCTTCTGCTGGAGTAGGGGAATGTACTCGGGATTCGGTCTCTGACATGGTGAACGGGTCTGGAAGGGGCGACTAGAAAATTTTCCTTGGTTCAAGGGTTGATCATGGAACGATCTTGGTAATTAACGTTAAGGAAGCGAGGCCTGAAGGAAAATGGCGATGCTGAGAGAGTCGGGACGGGCTCCTGACAGGGGGAAGTCCAGAATCAAAGATGCAGGTTGGGAGGTTCCGTCATGAAATCATTGAATAAAGTGTGTCGACACATAGGAACATCGGCAGGTCTAGGTTAGTCGTGCGATGCCGTTCTAGCGCGCTAGCTTACTTCTCCACCTGGGCGAGATGAGAAGGGTGGAGGAAATAATAGGGCGGCTGGTCCTCAGATGTGTGAACCTGAACCAAAAACCTTGTTCTTGATGACCCTGTTGAGTTTTCGCCACATGCAGACAACAGATATGAGCTGATGTGGCTGTTCTTGGCAGACGTGGCTGAGTTTACAGCACACCACCAACGTCCGTCGCGCGACGAAGGTGGGCTCCGCAATGTTTACACGCAAATCTACCGGATCTTGGTTGCCCAAGACAACTGAAATTGAGAGAGATCACCTTCGCGACAATTTTACCTTTTTACCCCAACACTCAGAGATCGCCACTTCTGAGAACCTTTCCCTGCAAAGCACGCAGCCCACGCTTATTTTCGGTCTCTGTACCTTACTTCATATAACCGTCCATTACTCAAAAAACCCCGTATTTTCTTGTTTGTGTTTCGGGAGTCAAGGGGAGTTATAGCTTCCTAGGACTAGGTGCTTGGCCCAGGTCCTCCCAGCATCCATCGCAAACAACCTGAGTGGACATCCTTCTAGTCTTGATAAACACGAAATTCGCCATGGACCGCCGAACTTATGAGAGCCCTATGGATTGGGAATATCAGGGGACTGGCCCTGTTGACATAACTAGTCCCTTCACACACATTGCACGAAACAATCCTAAGAATAGCAACAGTCAGTTGATTTCTCGCTATGCTTTTGGAAAGCCAGGTCCAGACTAGATCCCAAGTTGCCTTTGCTAACCTAGAAAGCGTCATATGACTAGTTTTTTCATCACCAGCGAAACATGCGCCACAGCGCTCGCTACCAAACACCCAAATTCCAACTACACCCTCTAGACACCAAGTGTCCGCCCCTTCCTCATCATTCTTCACTCCGAGGATACCTGTTGTGCAGCCGGCACCACCATTCAGAAACCCTGCGTTCACAACACCACGCCGACCATTCGATGATATTGCCTTGTCAGAGGCATCGGGGGCGGAGAGCAGCCCCGCCTTCACAGAGAACTCCGACTTTCCAAACGATACTCCCGACATAGATCGTATAGGCGACCTAAACATGGCTACGATCACCCCTTCTCGAATTGACAAAGGCCTCCGCTATGCTAAGAATAGTATGCAGCCGAGACGACATGCTGCCGGCAGGGGTGAAATTCCACGTCCCACGAAGGATCACGGCGTTGTCGATTTTGTTCGGAAGCGCAAGAAGCGCAATTATGATCGTGACTCGGGCAGCTCCCGAAACCGGCATGGCTGGGTCGATGACTCTGACCTTGACTCTGAGGACAGTATAGTGCGGGAGCGCATGGTGGGCGGCCGAGGTAGTAAAAAGAGTAGGAAGGCAGCTGGACTTCTGGGTGGCCTTTTACCACCATGCAACAGAACCCGGATTTTGCTGAACAGGCCCATAAGCTTATCCGTCTGTCTCTGCATCTCATTTTAGTAGGGTCTATCATGTTCGTTGGCTGGAAAGGCTACAGCGCCGTTTCAGCGGATATCACTACGGCAAACCGAGCAGCGCAGGCTGCCAGACTAAACAAAATTGCCGAGTGCACAAAACAGTATCGAGAGAACCAATGCGTACAGAATCTTCCGGCGCTTAGGGAACTCTGTGAGCAATGGAAGAATTGCATGACAGACGATCCGGAGGCCATCTTCATGGTTAGAAATACAATCAAGGAAGTAGCGTCGATCCTCAATGAATTCTCAGGGAGATGCATCTTAAGGCTTGGGTATGTAGCATCTTGGGGCCACACTGCACCCTGATCCTGTTGCTAATGATTTGACATAGGGCTTCTTCTTTCTGGCTATCATAATGCTCATCATCTCGAATAACCTAGCCACGGTACGCGCTGACCCGAAGCCTGCAGCGACGTCGACCGCTCCACCCTATCTGGCTGGCTCAATACCCTGGGCGGCAGCGATGCCCAGCGAAGCATACAACCAGTGGATGCACGCCCAAACGCCTCGAACGCGACGACATCAAATTGATATCAACGAGGGAACGGATTCAGATGAGGGTTCTTTCCAACCCTTCAGGCGCAATGCTTTAATGGCACCTCAGACGCCGAGCAGCAGGCGAAGCCCCATGAAGAAAGAAGAGAGGGCGGGAAGCCCTGCCAGGCTTAGCCGGAGTCCGAATAAATGGTATTAATGTACATCTGTGGATGCAAGCAACTGGTATCAGTGAGCATGGAATGGGCCTATGTTTGAGCTGAGCCCGTTAGCCTCTCTCAACACGCTACTTTTACTTTTATATCTCATTTATGCCTTTCTCCAGCTTAACCGCATTCATTTGATTCTTGTGTTGTGTACCTCAAGCTGGCCGTAATTTTGCAGCGTGTGCTCGTCTTAGACCATTCTGGAGGGGGTCAAATGAAAGACTGATCTGGGAAAGTCACAGTGGACCACAGTCCAGTACGGTCTTCGCGAGACTGAAATAGCCCACATGTCATTTTAATCTCAATTAACAGAGCGCGGTTCTGCGGAAGGCTCGAGTCGGGCCAGGGAAAGAAAAAGAAGCCCCCAATAACATACCCCATCATCCCCTTTCATTCGTCTGCCTCTGCCTTCAACAGAGGATTTCAATATTTTCTATATTTTCTATATTTTTATGATTTATAATTTTGTTTGTTCTTTTTGGTCGAGTCCCTTAATGAAGACATTGGCACGCCGGGGGCGAAGTTGAGGATAGAGGGTCAGGATCTTTGAATGGGTTGCACCAGACGTATTATGGCCGGCGAGCTTTCCCTGGTGCGCAAGGTCGTTCACAGTTCACAGCTGTGGGCTGGACCGAGGTTGTGGTTGTCACTCTCCTGAACGTAGTTGTGACGTAATATTCTCAAGTGTACTTGGGACATGTATACTTTTTTCGGTCCATAAGCTGGATTGAATCATTGGCCAGTTCTAATCGGCCTGTTGGACTTGATGGACTGCCAAATGCCCCAGCGGCTACCGTTTAGCAAATGCCGAGACGGAACATTTGAAGGACGGTGATCGCTCTATTCCGCGTATGCATGAGGTTGTTGATGCGCATTGATTTAAATGCATATACCATCTATTGTACACACTACGCTGTACAATGGAACAGTTAACTCGGCAAGGGTTGGGGAGAAAGATATCCTCGTGGAGGACTAGAACAATTGATCCTTCCATGATTTTGTACGCTCTATGGACACCGTTGCAACAGCTTGATGCTCAATGGACGGGCTCCTCAGCCATGAAACTTCTTTAATCAAGACGCTCAAATCAAGCATGGGTTCAGCTTACTCCCCGAGAGCTCTCTGTCCTTTCTCCGGCACACAGTTTCGCAGTGCAATTAAAACTGGAAGGAAAAGCAACAAAGGCAAAAAAATTCTGGAGCGACTGGGGGATGGATGGAAAGCACCCCTTTTGGCCCAGCAATACCTAGTGTATCCCTTGTTCACCTGTTTCGGTCTTGGATCCGATGCAAAGCACGCCTTTTTCAGTCGTTGGTTCCCCGGTCTTGTTGTCTGCCCATCGCTCAGTGGTCTATCTACGGGAAACCGCATCCGGGACAATCCCGGGAGGATCCGCGGGACTTGACACGAATCGTGATGGTGCTGGGAGTATTCAACGCCAAGCCTGGTCGAGCAACCTTACATCTGGGGGAGGAAGGCCGCATCATGGCTCCACCAATTTGATGACGCTAGTCGGCATTGGAACGACCCTCGGCCAATGGATGAATTGATCACTTTGGAGGCTATGGTCTCTTTGTGGCTCGACACTATTATTACAAGTAGGTTGTCTCAACCGACAACTAAGGCCGAATCGAGCTGCATTACGGAGCTCATTAGAGCAGGCGCAATGATATTGATGGAAATGTTCACTCTAAACCCCTCCCTCCACCTTGCTTTTTCTTTTCTTTGACCCCCCCATGTTCTCTTAACACTATTACTCGACCTGACTATCAGGTGTTGGTTCCCCCTTGCTTTCGTTTCGCCAGCGATATCCAGCTAGGTCGAGTCGGAAAGACTTGTAATCAAGCGCGGGTTGTGCATTTATTTCGTATCTGGGAATATGTGCAGCCCAACACCGTTTTGGAAAGCTCGGGCCGTGTCTGGCTCTCTTCAACACAGGGCTGTTTGTTTATTGTATAGCTATGAATCGATGTATTGCTCAATGATTAATTGGCATGGGCCCCCTTCTTCTTGCTGACATCCAGCACCGAAGGCAATGTACCTCTCGGAGTTGCTCTTGATCTTCTTGCTACTTTTGAGATAGTCAAGCCCTTACTATCAACAGAGACAATGCTAGGGCAAGGCGGTAGAGAATCACTTCTGCTGATGCTGGATCTATGGATGGCTCCATTGTAATAAAGAATAAGGTTCGTAGGTGAAAGGAATAGAAAAGAAATGGGCGCATCTTCGATGGTTGATGCGCCACGCCCTACATTTGATGTAGCCTCCCACCCGGCCGAGTGCTGCTCTCTGGTTTATGTCCATATTACCAGCTCTTCCCCTTCCCCACCAAGACAGCTCGTCTCCAAAGCTGGAGCTTCCCACAGCGCCAAGAACTGACCTACTGTGGAGACCAGACCGTGCTCCCAAGGTCAGTCAGCAAACATTGAATTCGAATCAAATGAGAATCCACATCCAAACACCCTTTGATCACACCAACATCCATTCACCCAATTTGTGCGATTGATGTGTGCAATTCCATCGACGGCTCTCGTTAACTAATGGATATCTAGACTCATTCATGCAGCGGAGCCCTTGCTTTCATAGCACCCAATGCGCCAAGTGTTCTCTCAGTGCATTTCGCTTGAGCTGAGCATGTAGAATTTCTTCTTTTTCTTTTTTCTTTGCTCCCTTCTTGACGTCGTTGGAACCCGGTCCCTGCACCTCCTCTCTCCACCCCATCCGACAGCCCTTTATTGTGAACTGCGCTTGCAAGCCCCGCTTGAACTCTTTCCGCCCAGCATAAAGCGCCTCTGCCAGTATCTCTGATCTTCCGTCTGGGTTCATCGCCACCCCACTCCCGTTCGCGACCTCAGCAGCGCGACTACCACGCACGGGTTTGTTGCGAAACCAAAACCAAAGATTACCTCTCGAACCGTCCTCATCTCGCGGGGCCTGCCCCTATCTCTCTCAGCCTTTCGACCTTTCCTCCTTCCTATAAACGCTACGGGTGAGAACCCCAAGACTCACGCTGAGTTGGTCCGTCCTCTTTCGAGCCGTTGACGTCCTCACATTCGACCGAACGACGAACCAGTGCCGCGTCCTCTCAATGAGAATGTGGCCGACGCCGGTTTCCTGCCCTCCTATTGCAAACGTCATCGTGCTCGAGCTGCGTCATATCTAACCCGTCGCAAAGGTACCCAAAGTCAGGCGCAGGGCTCCTTGTTTTCTTCGGTGAGACTTAGGGAGCGTGCTTCTCTTAACGTCCACGATCCCATATGGAGGACGCGGCTTCTTCCCGGACCACGGCCAAGACCCCAACCGCAACGAGCTCCGGGCCTCGCACAGAATCGCAGTCGCGTCCCTCTTCTGCCGCTTCAGGCACCCCTGGGCCTCCTCCCTTGGCGCTCTCTCTTCGTCCTCTTCCTCAATTGTTGCAGGCCCAACGGGGCCAGGGTCTGTGGCAGTAGGCGGCCCTGCTCCACCGATAGATCCTAACCGACAACTGTCGAAGCGCCGCAGGGGCCATGGCGTGGTGACGCCAAATGCGTGTACAGAATGCCGCAAAAAGCGAGCGAAGGTATGGTGTCCATTTGCCTATATCCTGCCTCCAACCCTATTTTGCTCCTGCCAACGAGAGGCCAGGCAGCTCTTGCTTAGAGCGCTGCGCTTCAAGTTTGCTTTTCCCAACCTCTCCTAGAAACGTGTCCATGTGCTTTCTCGTCTCCATTTGCGAGTTGAACCTCGCGAACTCAGCTGACCCATCTCCCTCTTTTGCGAACTGTCGCTTGTCTTAGTGCGACGGTCTCAAACCATGCACCAGGTGCCGTGCCCAGAAAAATGTTGATTGCATCTACGAAGTCCCAGTCCGGCAGTCGAAGGAAAATCTGCGATCTGAGATTGAGCAGCTCCGAACGCGTCAGAGATCCAGCGAACAGGTTATTTCGGCGTTGCTTCGCCCAGAATTATGGCAAGAAGTTCTTAACCGTCTGCGAGGGGCCAGAGCATTGAGGCTGTCTCCGACTGGCTTGAGGCACGTTGCCCTCCGGCGGTGGAGCTGTTCCCTCTTTTCAAGACCGTTAGAGGCCGCATCTGCCGGCCGGCCTTCGGGAATAACCCCCTCGCCTTCTCAAGCTCTGGCCCCGGTTCCATGTCTGCATTAAGCTTGGGCGCTGGTGCGGGACATAGCCCAGTCACAAGGCAGGCTAGAAGCGGGCCAGTGCATCCTCCTCTGCCAGCTTCGGCGCATTTGCCCGGCCTGCGGACCTCAGAGATAGACCAGAGTCAGCATAGCCCCTGGCATTTTTCGTCCCACTCGCAGAGCGGTGTCTCAACCACGAGCGATTCCCACGCGGGCATGATGAACTGGACCCCGGAAGTCAGCCAGCCGTCTCCTCGGGTCGGATCGTGGGTTGAAGGCATGCACCCAGAGTCAGGCTCTCCGGAGTACGGTCAAAGATACCGCTGGCTAGACCAGGTTCTATCGCCCCGGGACGTCCCTAAAATGGAGGTCCCGGATGTGGAGTGGACTGCCATCACGTCCGATGTCCGTCTTGTCCAGCACCTCCTTGCCCTATATTTCTGTTGGGAATATCCAACGTTCGCCTCTCTCAGCAAAGAGCATTTCCTTAAGGACTTCAAAGACGGTACGCGGCGGTACTGCTCCTCGATCCTTGTGAATGCGCTCTTGGCCCTCGGCTGCCGCTTTTCGAACCAACCGAACACTCGTGCAAATTCAACCGACCCTGCAACGTCTGGTGACCACTTCTTTAAAGAGTCCCTCCGCCTATTCCACCTCGAGACGGATCATCGTAGCCTCACGACAATCCAGGCACTCGGGATCATGTCAATACGAGAGGCGAGCTGTGGCCGAGATTCAGAAAGCTGGTATTATGCCGGGCAGAGTATACGGATAGCTCTCGAGATGGGCCTTCACATGACTAACGGAACGGGGAACGACGACGACATTGCCGTTAGGGCAGCCACGTTTTGGGGCGCGTTCGCACTGGATCAGTAGGTTACTGTGCAACTTTCTTCTGACCATTGATTTTCCCGAGTGCCCCCTTTTTCCTTTCTTTTCCTTGTTGTTTCTTTCTTTCCCTTGTCCTTTTCTCATTCGCCGTCAGGGCTATCGCGTTGTCACTAACTTGGCATATGAAAGTGCCTGGTCGCTTGCCACAGGCTCACTGCCACAGTGTTCTTGCGTCCCACACCTGCCCCCAAGCCCGCCATCATCGATGACATTGAAGCCTCTCTATGGATCCCGTACACAGATGACGGTGCGTATTTGACTCTTTCTTTGACGCGGAGAAGACGGGGCAAGTCGTGGGCCGAAGAGGGCCGGGGAGGGCTGCGTACTAATCAACATTGCTTGTCATGACTTCAGGTGTCCCGTTACAACGCTCTTGCGAACAGCCGTCCAACGTTCGTTCAGTCTACAAGTGCTTCTGCGAGCTAAGCGAACTTGTCCATCAGTCCCTGTACATACTCCACTCTCCAGGTCGGCCACTGACAAGCCGGGATCTGCTGGGGATTTACACGCAATATCTTGATTGGTACGACCGCATCCCTGAGGTCCTTCGCCTTGGCCACAACTTTACGCCGGCAGTACTATTCGCGCAGTAAGCAGTTACCCCTTGAACAGTTCCAACGTACGACGAGATCGTAATGCGCAAAGGGAGCCCCCTCTGCCCCCACCAAGGACACCTTTCCCAACCTATCTTCTTTTGTTTGTTCTATGTCGGCTTGACCGTAAAAACTAGGAGGCTGAGCTGACTTTATCTTGTTCTTTTTCCTTCCACTTCTCATAGCATGTACTATCACTTTGCTATCTTGCTACTTTTCCGGCCTCTGATCAAGCTGAAAATCATCGGCTCGAAGGTCTTGCCCCGAGACGTGTGTTCGCAGGCGGCAGACGCTATCCAGAATCTACTGCGATCATACTCCCAATTATATACCCTTAGGCGGACGCCCTCATTTGTCCCTTACTTCGTCTTGACATCGGCCATTATGCACATGGCAATTGCTGCATCGCCGCCATCCGCGCCCTCGTCCGCTCATGGGGCAAGCGGACCGCAGCCTGGTTCCCAAGGTCCCAGCAGCCCTGATAGTAGTGGTTTGGGCGCTGCAGCACCTTCTTCCAGATCAGACCCACGCGTCCTACAATCCATCAGGCAGGGCATCTCCGACTTGACCGAGATGGCGCCCTGCCATCACTTCGCGCAGCAAGCACTCAATATTCTCTGCTACCTGGCCAAGAAATGGAACCTCGATGTGGACATGGGCCGCGAGAAAACGGAGGCGACAGAAGACATGGATCGGCTCCTCCTCCGACCGCACACTAGCAGCCTCAACTTTTTCGTGCCCAACGTGCAGCTTGAAGATTTTATGTGTGGCTGGGGGCGGTGGGAGCACCCTCGGTGATAAGGTTACCCTCGTCCCCCGGCAGATGACAGTCACAGACGAGATCTCCCAGATTGCGGACAATCCACTATTCTGGCCATTCCCCTTGCAGGGTAGGCCTCTACTGCCCACAGGACGGGAGCTACTAGAGGCTGGTTTTGCAATGATTTAAGTAAACTGCGTTAGAGCTTCCTTGACTGACTCTTTTTTTTTTTTTTTTTCCCTCCGTCCTTTTCTACCTTCATCACTATTCACCTTTTGTCACCCTCAAGCACTGTCTCATTTCTTTCTTTCCTATTGTTGAGATATCTGCTTGATAGCGAACACTCTTGGGAAGCGTCGTATGTATATACATCCATGTAATATTAGGATCTATGGGCTGGATTGAACATAGACAAGCAAAACAGGGTTGACGGGGCAGCAATGGCACGGGATTAGGCGCATGTACTTTTAGGCGAAGACGGCGAGAACAGCATGTGATGGTCGCTGCCCATCCGCAACGATTTAGCGTAGTTGGAGCGGTCACGGTAGTGGATATGTCCAAGGGGCCAGGAATATATTTTGGTTGGAGTTTATTAGATGTGAATTGTAAATAGATATATATCCTTATATGCCTTACACAAGCTCCTCGTGGGTGACCGTTTAACCTTGGAGATGCAAATGCAGTTGCTAATGATACTTTCAATTATCGGGCTATCGCCAATCTGCGACGTTACACCTATCAACTCTTTTGAAGCCTTGTGGTTGGTCGTCACTGCCCGAGCGCCACAAGCCCATTTGCCTTCAAGTCCCATTCAGGAATGATAAGACTTCTGTGGTCAAAGCAGCCTCGGCTCATCGAGCCAACGTCGATGAAAGCAATTGAGCGGAGGACGAACTCACCATGACACTAGGCCAACCCCATCCGCTCGCGTAGTCAACGCTGTTGTCCCTTTCTCCTTTCTCCTTCTCCTTCTCTCCCATCCTCTTTACTAGCGAAAAAAACCCCCAATCGGAATTCGAAGGCAACTCGGAAGCCAACATTTTTCTAAATTCCGTGATTGGCGCCAACCCGTCTCACCAAGTGCCTCCTCGAGATATCAGAATGCCTGCACTACCCCGACATTCCGCCGGCGGTGCAGGTTCGGCGCTGTCTCCGCCCAAGTTAATTCACATGTACGATGAGTTTATTACCAAGAACTCGGGTCAGGTGTCGCAGATTGAGTCGGCGCTTCGTTCATTGACGTACATCATCCCCGGTTAGCTTTATCCTTCTCCCATTGTTCCTTTTGTCTATGCTTGACCCCTTGACCGTCTATCGGTAGAAGAGAGGCTAGATATAATACTAACAGTTTGATCCTGAATCCTAGGCCGCTTTCGTGACGCAGAAATTGCATCGGAAACGTTGCACTCTGGTGTGCAGCTTCTATCTCTCTATCATGACAACCTGCTTTCGCGCGCCGCCTCTACGATATCGCGCGGCCCAGGCATCAAACGCCCGCCCTCCCCGCACACGCGATACACGCGATACTGGACGCAGCGAAGCGGATTATACCGGCGGATTGCGCTCCTGTTGCAAATGGTGCGATACACAGAACTGCTGGTCGAGATGGCGGCAAACAGGAGGGGTGGGGAGAACGGACGGTGGAGAGTTGTGGTGCTTCTCGAATTCATCAAGGCCGTGTGCCGGCTTTTGCTCCTGCGTATCACGAGCTCGCGTCCAATTTTGTCGCCCGTTTTGCCAGAGCGAGAGCCAATCGCGGAAGAGCCCCCTCTTCGGATGATGAATCTACGCTAACGGAATTATTTGACGACGGAGAGAGCACGTCGGCGACCTCGCCTTCCTCAGTAGCGTCATCGACCAAGTCGGCACATGAAAGGGAGTGGGTCATGCCGCGGACAGGCATGTCTCTGCCCTCGCTCCCCACAGCGTCGGACATCACATCATACCTCCTTTCAAGAGTGCTCACCCCGGATGACATCAAGCCCGCTACCAAGCTCCTCAACCAGCTACGCGGCTCGGGCCAGGCTGCGGAGGTGCTCCATATATTAGCGCCGCTAGTATACGCCACGTGCCTCGCCCTCTCCAAGGCATCGTCGCCAGAGGCGAGAAGACGGGCATGGGGCCCTTGGCTAGCGGGCTTCGCTGTCGAGTACGCGGCGAGGCAACTCCGCGATAAAGGCCTGCGGACAACGGCGCTAGAGAGAGATGAATGGCGCAGGAGGGGTTGGTCAATGGGCTGGTGGGCTATGAGGGGACCCTTTTACGAGTCCGTGGTTAAAGGTGTAGTTGAAGGCGTTAGGAAGAGGGTACCGGGCGTCATCGGTGGCATCCTTGAAGATTATGAGTACCTCTGGGAGAACTACTACTTCAGCACTAGTGACTAGTACTCGATTTCTACCCGGAGGAACGGATAGATTTCCCAAAAGGAAAAAAAAAAAAAAAAGATTTGGGGGCAGGGCAGGGCAGGGCGGCGGTGGCGAGCTTGGTGTTTTGAATGCCCTCTGTTTGTTGTACGATGCTGTTAACCACTCATCTTTCTTTTGTTATCCCCTTCCCGCTTCACTTGATCTGCGCCGTGGTATCTTCCTGTTGGGTCCATCCCTTCTTCTTCTCTTCTTCCCTCCCCGGGTTTCTTACCGCTTGTTTTATTGATGGAAAGGGAATAATCACGACATGTAACAGGAGCTATGAATAATAGAATTGTGTCTTTATTTTTCCCTTAACCTACACTCCGGTAACTAAGCCTTCCTTGACTGTTGTTTGTATAATGACGAGCTAATAAACGGTAATACTCTTATCGAAGGGGCCGGAAAGTGCGGTCTACATTGTCTCTCTTCCCGCTCGTGGGTTTTCATCCTTGCTTGAGGTTGATATCCCACGAGGCTATGCAGACAACCCTAGGAACAGGAGCGCCTGTGCTGTCACTCTCGTTTCAAAGAGCATCTATAGCTTGTTCGAGCGATATCCCCATCGTTTTGCGCTCAAAGAAGAAGTGAGACACTATCGCTCCTAGAGAGCTTACGAAGACAGGAGGGCAACCCTTGTGGGCGATTAGGCCGCGCCCTCTTTCCTCGCGGGGAACGAAGCCAAACCTCAGCCCTCGTCCTTTCCCGTGTAGCCAGTGGGAGGAAAACCAGGTAAGAGAAGAGCTTTATGGTTCCAACTTGCCCCGCATGTCTAAGATGCGGAGCATCTAGGGAGGTTAACAAAGAAAAAGAGGAGAGGCGAGATAACCAGGCTGCTGTGCCTCGGGACGGGGATATAGTGGGCGAGACCCGACTCTCATGCACCGGACCGACCCCGGCTCCTCTCTTGCATGTTGAACACGGGATCTGACCAATCTTCATTAGAAAACTTACCGCTTGGGGAATCTACGAAATGTACTCCAGACCCGTCCTTCTCTAACCAGGCGAAGTAGGGTGGGGCAGGAGAGAGGCGAGAAGGAAGGCTCAGGATGAAGGAACCGAAGACCGCAGATGTAGGGGCTTGCGTGTCTCAAGAGACATTGTGAATCGTCTCGTTTCCGGGTTTCTCTCCTCTTCTGCTTTTTCGGTCCCGTTTGGAGTTAGGTGCTACCGCGGATGGCATCATCGCGGAGGTCTTTCTAGGTGCCAGAAGATGAAAGAAAACCCAAGAGAGAGGATTGCCTAGTAGGAGGTGAGACGACATGTCCGATTCAGGTTGGCGTGGGAGCGTAAAAGTTTGGTCCACGACATCCCCAACCTCGAAATTCCGGGGTTAACCAAGAAACTGGAGCAACACGGGGTCGAATCAGGAATATAGTCGATATGAGACGGAGAAGCGGACGAGGCAGGGAATCTTGAAACAAGCAAACAACGTGGCGCCCGTCACCTTTATGGATTGAAATGATACTGTCAACGTCAAAGGGAACAGAAGCGAGCGTGACCGCGGAAACCATCCTGGTCCATTGAGTAGCTTCCTCCCCGTCTCTCTCTCTCCCTAAGGTCTACTGCTATAATATGGAACCTCATGTGTGGTAGAGACGATATAAGAGGAGCTCAGAGAAGATATTGAGTCCTAAGCAAGACGGTTTAGGGGATAATGGTACAGCCCATGGCAGGTACAGGACCGCCTGTCGGCTAATCTCCAGCAGAGCAGGGACGAACGAAGATCATCGACGATGGCGGCGAACAGACGGCGCTCACCCGTTGACAGGACGATGTTTCATATTGCGCCTCTACCGTCGTCAGGTTTCGAAAGAGAGAGAGAGAAGAGCGGGGAAGAATCCAAAAGAACAAAGGACCGGAGAACGGTGTGGCTCTATCCCCCAAAACCCCGACCTCAACCCCAAATCGAAGACGCACATACGGGCGAGAGAGAAGGAATGGAATTTTTGTATTTCATGGTTAACTGGGGTTAGAGACATGATCATGGCATACATGTTGCACATGTTCACATCCAACCCCCGCCCGTCCTCCCGGCGTGATGCGAGAAGTTGATGTCTAATCCTAGCCAAGAAGACGAAAGAGGGAAAAAGGACGGGCCTGGAGAAAGTAGAAGGATGCAAGGGAATACATTCTGCGAGGGTTCGATACCTGCGGGACCGCACGTCCACGCTGCAGGGTCAATTGGGCCCTTCCCCAACCTTGTGCCGTCTCAAAGATAGGTGAGGCGGGAAAGCAGGATAAGCGATGTAGCCCCCATTCGAACTTTTTTATATTCTGTCTTCCATGTAGTTAGGGCGTACACCGGGGTAACCCGGCGGAGCGGGTGGGGATCACAGACTCAAAAGAGCCGCTCTGACTTTTACCCTCCCCATGGACCAGGAGGGTGAGGACATCACGGAAGAGTGGAGGGTGTGCATCTTGACGATTTTGGCATCGGTCCTCACGCGGCAGCCATGCGTACAGGGTTCTTTCTCCTCCGCGCAACCCTTTGCACTTCTTCTTTTGGGCATTATCAGAGCCGTATTAAGGTTGGGGCCCGGGATGGCGATGGCTGGGCGGCATGGCGAGCCTTGGTCTAGGAGGGGCCTTGGCCACAAACGCTGCTAACTAGCCCGGGTGGAGGCACGAGAGGTTGGACGGCATGAGCGAGACTAGAGGGGTGTGCCTCTGTAGAGGAGAGCAATGACGAGGGACCCCAGGGCTCTTTGCTTGTATAAACTGGGCACCTAAGGAAAGAAAAAAGACGGGCGAGGGGGACGATGAGAACGGACCCTTTGGAAGCCGGCGTCCTGGCCACTGCAAGGCTTCCCTCGGGACTGACTTTTCGATCTCTCCCATTCCAATTTCTCCCAGTATCCGCTCTTCTTTGTTTCCTTGCCCCGCGATGCACGCGGCAACAACGGATCCCCGCGATCCGCACAATCATAATTTGGATGACCCATCCATATCCAATCCAATAAGCCACGGGGTCCTTGGATTGAAGCAGGAAGTATGAGGTAAAGATGAAAGAAACGGAGGGCGAGGGCTTTCTTTGCGTAGAAAGAAAAAGAAATAAAATAAATCAGGGTACAAAACTGGAAAGGCTACAGCACGCTTCGCAATAGATGAATCCAGGCTCTTGACACGGACGTAGCCTGTTTCCCACCTCGGCCGCTTCTGATCTGTGCGTTCGGGAGTTGGGTTCGTTTAGTGAGACGGCGTTGCCAACCCCGCACTCTTCCCACGTTGCGCCGTTCGCCATCTTTTCCCAAAAGAGCATGGGGCTGGGGGAAGGGGAGGTCTTCCCTTTCCTTTGGCTCGCCTAATACTTCCCAGGCTTTTAAGCTTATGGCATTGCTTTGAGACGGGAACGAGGATGTGCTTTCTTTGCGGGGTAAGGTAGGGTGAGGATGCGAGCCGCTGCGAAATACTTGGAGGAGTGGGTAGAGGAGGGGAGGGGGACGGCCACGAGATGACAGATGATAACATTGTTTCATGTTACATGAGAACACAAAAGACTTGAGGTGGAAAGCATGGGAGATCGAATGGACGGCTGGGACAGAGAGAGAGGATCGACGGCATTGGCGTTGAGCAAGGACATGGATAGTAATACAGGCATGGGGCTTTGATGGGACGCGAGAGATGGGATGCGGGATGATGCATGGAGGGCATGGAGGGCATGGATCGACCGTGTAGAAAGCAGGAAGAGGGCGTGTACACTAGGTAGGAAGGGAAGCGCAAAATGAAAGCTATGAGCAGCACTTTTGACGCCTTCGATAGACACTACGGAGATGAATCTTTGAAACCATATTTGAGGTTGCATCTTAGATCTTGTCCACCCGTGGGCGAGGCAATAATGAGGCTATAATGAACCATAAGAACATAGAGAAAAGCAAACCCCTCCTCCCAGATCAAGGATCCGGGGTGTGTGCGGATGACAAGTTGAGCGCCGTGGAGGGGGCAGAGTCGTCAATGCGTAGGGAGAACGAACCAGATCGACGCAGCGGTTGGGATATTAGTGAGGGAGACAGAGAGGGATAGAGACAGAGAGAGAAAGTGAGTGAGTGAGTGAGTGAGTGAGTGGGATGGGGTGGAGGGCAAGGGGCACGGGCGGTTTCGTTTGAGGTTGTGCTGTCCATAAAACAAGAAAAGTTGGGGTGAAGTGGGGGAGGAGGGGGCAGACGGAGTGTCTCGTCTCACATCCTTCCACGACCCTTCCTTATTTTTCCCTCTTCGGGGTCTCTGATCAAATCTGCCGGTTTGGTCTCATATTAATACCAAAAGCTCCCTTTTCTCCTCTGGTGCTTGAGCCGCGTTTCGCAAGGCAATAATTAAGGTAGCAAAGAGTGAGAATCCAACAAAAAGAAGAAGAAGAAGAAAGGAAAAAAAAAAAAGAAAGGTCTAGGCACGGGATGGAATCTTTCGTGAGGTGAACCGTTGCGGATCGCAAGGGGTGGTTGGGGAAGATGCAACCACTTACATCGTCAAAAGCTTGCTCTAAGGCCTGGATAACCCCTCTTTCCCCCTTCCCGCGGTCGTTGCGGCTCAGCGACCGGGAGCCTCAGATTCCACACTAAGGAGGGGTGAAAAAAAAAGATAGAAGCATTCTGAGCCTAGACCCGGCTTTGAAGCCAAAAATGAGTTGGCTGTCCGGGACCAGCCACCCGTTCCTAGTCTTAGGATTCCAAGCAGATGGCTATTTTTCCCAAACTTTCTTTTCGCTCTTGCTGTTCGCTTGCTCTTGTCAGCAGAGGGATCGTGCCGCCCGCGAGCACTAGGCCGAGACGATCTGATAAGACCTTCTGGCAGGACCCATAAGTCTTAGGACGACAAGCTTTCTGGTATAGATAGTGAGCCGCTTCGGAGTGTACCATTGGGTGTAATTCTGAGTGGGCCCCGGGACCCCGAAACCCCGGAGACGGAAGACCGGAAGGCTAAATTCAAGTGGAGCAGGTTTATGCTTACCAGAGCTCTCTCTCTCTTTCTCTCCTTCCAAG